TTTTTTTTAATATTAAACGTCTGTAAAAGTGAGACATCAAGCCCGGAAGTCGATCGCGATTAATTTCTCTTACGACTTTCTTCTCTCGTGGATCTTTTTTACGAATCTGTACAGTTGTTGATAGCTCTTTAATTTAATATTTTTTAAAACATATGACGATATATATTTGATATGCGGTATATAACACGTATTGTTCTGACTATTACGAGACATCGCGATTACAATAATCACATGTGTATTTGTCGCGCTTGGAAGACTGGCATTAATTGTTGCGAATATTACCTTCTTGCATGGAGAAACATTATTTTTCATTACCGATATCAATTGTTTATAAATGTTTCTGTTTTTCCATTAATAATTGTGTTGTCTGTTTCTTTTTTTGTCAATTTTTAACTCAACCGAATTTAATTCACACGAAGGAAATAAGATTCGGGGAAAGAAATATGAATTCTGCATCAATGCAGCGTCAACATATACTTATTTAAGAAAATTTGACATCCGTTGTCTGTGAGCTATTTTACGACGTTTACGTGAAAACATGCGATTGAGCTTCCTCGAACAATTGCAAGTGTTTATCGGCAATTTCGTCAGTGCAATATACACACATGGCATAGTGATTTATAAGCGCTTGCGGAATATGATAACTAATCGTACCGAACTCTCGATGGCTGTACACAGGCGGCTTTTTTTGTAAATACGTAATTTGAGAAAGAGGCGTCTCTCTCTCTCTCTCTACCCGCATGCTTCCCTATTTCGCGAGCCACTCATTTCACTTTTCCTTTCTCGTTAATTGTTTTCCTCTCTTTCCTGTCTTTTCGTTGTTAAGCCATCGTGCCATGTTACCTTGCGTTACTTCCGCACTTTTGCGCACGGAAAAATGCATGACCATAAATAGCTGCATTTGCACAGGCTCGATTGCACTGATAACTCCGTTAATTGACTGTCATTAGAGTTTTGTATCGTTTCTTTTTTTCTATTAAGTCCTAATTTATTATAATTACATGTTATCACTATGATCATAATATATACGAAGAAAAAATACAACTTAATAGCACATCGTTATTCATCTTATCTTAGTCAACTATTTAATTATAATTGATCTCATCTTGCCCTTGATTGCATCACGATTTCTCACATACCCGGTGTACAGATGATTCTCCTCTCCGATCCTATTAGAAATTTATAGATATTCTTAGCGAATTTTTTAAAAGCATAAATTAGCCATGTGTGGTCAATTGACGTGTATCGGTACAATTGACATTTAAATAACAATACGAATTTTTTATCAGATCACATTAAATGTGAAATAAACAACCATAAACTTCGTTCTTCACTTACTATAGCACAAAAAAGTTTTATAGAATTTTCTCCTTTCTATAAAATTTTAATTCGACCATACATTTCGAATTTTATAATGCAGATGCGTTATGGCGTTACCTCGAAATTCAGTAATCAACTTTTTATTTTTCCAAACGAGGAACATTTTTTTCAAAAAGGGATTTATATGCGAGGATACAATTATGAAGTATTACTCATGGAATTAGAAGAGTCCAAACACTAATACTATGATATTTTCTAGAGCATCCGATGATTCTTTAGCGAAGATCTGGATTTTGAGGTATTTTTATCGAGCTTGTAATAATGTCAATCGATTTCTTTCTCCGTGCGTGGAAGAAATTATATAATACGCAGATTACCTCCCCCGAGGAAAGTAGAAATGTGCAATGAACGATTTTTACATTGAACGACAGGCGGCTGTTATAATTGTAATAATGTCGATTGTAACGACATGCAGAGTTGGATCTACAGATCTACTTGGGTCCTTCGGGCCGCAACTTCATGGATTTGTGGTTATATAGGTATAATCACATTTAACCCTTTTGCGCGCGTGCGATTATATAAAGGAATGTTTTATAAGAACTTTGCAAGCAGGCATTTTAAAGAACCATAGATCGTAAATACAATCGTAGGCTATTAGAAGGCGAAAGGGTTAAGGATTCTCGCAGAGTCTCCTCGAGCTATTCTCATATCTGGAAGCATTCTATGAAGTATATCTGTATGTGTGATTAATCCATTAGCGCCCAAAATCTTTTTCACCTAAAATTTTGTAATAATTAGTAATTTGATCCAAAAGATGAGATATCGTACTAGAAGTAGAAGAGAAGGATTGAGAAACGAGGAGTATTTATCATTATATGAATACCACTGGGCGTTAACGGATTGATTAGTCTTACGATTTATATAAGATTGGAAATGTTATTTCTATCAAGTGCATTTAATTTTAGGGAAGAAACATCTTTAGTCGCGCTCAAAAGTAAAAGAAGCGATTTCGAACCTGGTCAAGATAAAGTATACACGATGCGATATATAAATAACCATTTGCTACGATGCATACAGATAATCGAACCGCAATTAATCACTATACAATCACTATGCAACTTGGAAAGGAGTTTTATATTAAAATGTTACGTGCCACTATATAATACCAATAACAATTTTGGTTGATTTTATACGTAATCGTTATGTTTTTATCCTACATCGGACGGTAGCATGACCGATGCACCAGAACGAGCTAGAGAAACTCCCCGTTTAAAAAGGGTCCTCGCGTAGTCCTCCCAGCGCAGATCGGTGTACATGCGTGCGTGCATGCGTGCGTGAGAAACCTGGTTCTACTATGTATAAATGTCGATAATTAGTTAATAGGAATGTAGCATAGCGTGTCGGAACGTGTCGCGCGGTTGAGAAGGACGAGAGAGTCGAGGAGAGGATCTGCAGCTAGCGTGTAGGACGCAGGATCCGTCGATCCCTAATGCTCCAATCCTAGAAATCCGAATCTGGAGCCGCGATCTGCGAAATCGAAACCTGGACCAGCACGTGGTCTAAGGCTGTGTATATAAAATAACGCCCCCGCGTTAGAATTTATTAAGGTATAGTTTGTACGTTGAGCTATATATATATATATTATATACATATTATATATATTATTATTATTATTATTATCATCACGAATAATATAACGGTCACTGTCTTTACCAAGCCGATACTATCATCATGCCTCATGTATCACATTAAACTGACGTATTAATACTCGCTTGTTCGTACCATATCCACGGCGCTCGGTCCTCAATCCTTCCACGATCCGTTCTCTCAGTCTGACGTCATACTCATCTCGGAACGTGAGCCATTCCGAAAAAATTCACGGCAAGAGGATATGAATTCAGCGATTCAGAAATACGAGACAGATACAGTAAGTCCTATCGGACGACTTTTGGAAGAATTTTTCAGAAACTTTCCTATCTTCAAGGTAACAGGGATGACAAAAGGTTTGAGATAGGATACTGTATCAAGGATATGATACTACAAGGCGCATGTTGTTTGTTAGGGAATAATCTCGGAGAAAGAACTTTGCCCATTTTTGGCTAATCCAGGCCTAGTCATCAATCATATATTATTTTGTAGATCATAATGGTAGTATCAAAGAAAAAATAGCTGTTTTAGGTTCTCCCTGTTGGAAGCAGTTTTGACCTCCTATCTCCTATTGATGTCATTTTATTCTCTATGGCTCATCATCAGAGTTGTCCAAGATGACAAATACGTCGTTACTATGCTCAGAAGGGTATTTGTATGTTATCAGAAAGGTATTTAGCATACCAAGGTATGATCGACATGGGCACAATATACCGAAAAATATTCAATATTTGTTTGTTACCGCCGTCACCACGAAGATCCCAAGTAGCAAAATGACGTCATAATGATGGTAAATTTTGGTCACAAAATGACCAATCAGACGTCCTAAATAGGTCTCGTGACGACGTCATTTTCTGACGTCTTATTGACGGCAAAAATAGGTGTAATGTACGACATACCGGTTTCTATATGTCATGGAAACGCAAAAAGAAAACTTTAGGAGAGGCTGAAAACAAAAACAAGAATTCTGGGAGTCATGTTCAACTATAAGACATAAAATCATCAATTGACAGCAAGCGTGTAAGCATCGTGTAAGCATAGATAGACAACAAAATGAATACACCAACATTGATGAAGTTCTAACATTGACCGGCGGGTGTTTTGGCTAATGGGTCAAGTTCTTTCGAGAATTTTAATAATCTAAGAAATTTTAGCAGTTGCGACACGTGGCGGCGTCCAGTCTAAAATAAAATCTACGGCAAATTTTTTGAGATATCGTGCAAAAATGTAATCAGGGTTGTTTCCCCGGGCGATATAAAACGTCGCGCGACGTATAATCCACGTCGTTACGTTGATCCCGAGGTTTGCATAAATGCATATGCAGCTTAGCAAAGCGGAGGGCACTCGGAATACTTGTTGCAAATGCATGCATACGCGATTGGTGGCATACGTCGTCCGGTAATCTACATATACCGGCTGATAGTGGCAAGATGACGAGTGAAAAAAATGGGACGAGCGGATCCGCGTGTGCGATGTATATTCATTAAAAAGCCCGCACGAGGAGAATTCGACTTCGCGGCTCTTCCGCGAGACCGACCCAATTCGCTTGTCCGCCACCGAAGAAATCGGTACACACGTATATTTGCACACTGGAAAGTTATTGAAATAGCGTGGAAATGTGATCGCGCCGTGTCACGAACGCCGTCAGAACGTAAACGCGAGCTAAAAAATATCCTCTCTTCATTCGACGTAGAAAAATATTCCTCGCGGGGCTAGCATATCAGGAGTAGCAGGTAGCGTGTTCCCTTGTTTTCGACGGCACGCGGGGTGTGACACCCAAAAGAATCTACAGTGATTCAGATTTTCACAAATCTTCATCCGCGAATATATTGCCCGG